ATGCCGGTGTAATTTTGTTTTGAATGACTGGAGGTTGTTGTCAGTGATCAGTCGCTGTGGCGGCCATTTTCAATGCTCCTTGGACGGTCAGCAATTGCCACATAACCGTTTCCAGCATACTATGCCAATAGTTCTATTTCTTCACAGTTCCATAATGTTTGAGCTTATGTACTAATCAGTTAAAGGTCATGGCGAAATCAGACTTGCATTGTCTGCAGTGTCAGCCGGTCATCGGAGGGTAATGAACAACTCAAAACATGGAGATTGATTGTGTAGTTTGTGATCGCAATAACACAGGGTCTTAGGCCTGTCATACACTTTGAATAGAAGCAATCAATTAAGTATCAGCCAAAAGCAATGATTTCCTACTCTCCAAGCAGAGGTTGTGGGGGAATGATCGTTAGCTTTTTATATATGGCCGTTTTGTTTGTCGCTTCCATTTTCTCTGGCTAATGGATACTGTCTGGCCACCGAAAGGGATCTGCTTGGAGATCACTGATTTCCATACACGCCATCAGTTTTTTCCTAATTATCCTGAAAGCAGTTTTCTACGTTTCATTTTTTTTAAATTAAAGCAACAGGTGGAAGAATAGAAGACAATGTGTGCGATGGATTTACACTTTCTTCTTTGGACATTATTTCTTTTCTTTCTTTATTGGCAATGACAACATACAGATCAATACACAAGTAATCAAGGCAGTGGTGACTGGCAGCAGATAACCCACAAATACATACGTAGAGACAAACATCAAATAAAGAAATCTACTATAAATACAACACCTGAAAAAGATAACATATTGTAACTGGTTACAAAATACAGTACTATGATATATAATAAAATTATTGTTCTAGCCTTTCAAATACCTCACCTCTTTGCGCTCTGCTTCGTTTGACCCTTTGGCCTACCTTTTCCTATGTCTGCATTTTCTCGCCCCGTTATAGATATGTACATTACAGATTTCCAATGTCGCCACGGTGCACTTGGCCGCTATATGCCATTGATATTATGCCGTGGCAAATGGTTAAACCCGTAAACTACATTGGCATAGACGAGCAATTCGTCAGTCAATATAGCTTTCGTTATATATCGAAATTATTTCGTCTGGGGGAAATAAAACGAGATATAAAGTACAGTTGTGCTATTCTATTATCTTAGCCAATGGCCTTTGGTATTCTATTGATGATAATGCGACAGGACGTTAAATTGAAGGACTAAAACGCCATAGACAGTAAAGACAAATTTGGGAATATTGACAGTATTTTATGCGGATCAAATGGTTTGTCTCATATTCATTGTCATGCAGAGAACTTCATTGACCAGAAAGTCAATATAACGTTCTCGAAATGCAAACCTGATGCAGCAGACGTTATTTAAACACAGAAATTTAATGACTGAAAGAAAATATATCCATTCGTAGCAGCCAGTAGCCGCTGAATGAAAGGGAACAACCATTAAGTAGTAAAAATGACATTCTGTTACGAACCCTAATAAATAAAGCTCCATACTCGAAAGTCCTTATGTGATGTGACTTCAAAGGCTGTAAATAGGAATGGTGCTTGCAGTTCAATATGATGTCGCAAGGTTACGACTCAATTCGGTACAATCAAGCACAATCATGTAGAATTGGTCTGGGAACAAATCATTATCTTTGATGAAAAATTCATTTGTGGTCGTCCCCAGTTAATATACTGTGCATGCATGTACAACGACGAGACATTGCATTATTGAATGAAAATTTATCGTAAGACCACTGTGAATCGTACAAAATAGTTGCAAAAGGAGCAAATATATACCGTAAGATGCAAAATGAAAATGTTGCAAAACTATACCAATGTCGTAGAATGCCAAAATTTAACAAAAAAAAAGGCAAATATGTAAAGAAATGAATTTGAAGAGAAGATTATTCGCCATACCATACTCTACAACTTTTTTTGGCAAACGTTCGCATCAGATTTGGGGTTCCCAGAGTATGTCATCCATATAATCAAATCGACATGGCCATGTCGTAATGTACTTTCAGACTCAAAACCATTGCATTTACGGTCACACAGATTGGGAAATTCAGAATACGACCAACAATTACGATAAATTGCTTCATGCAATGGTACTTATAAATATATTTGTTATCTATTTACGAGACTATTACTCAGTTACAAATGCTTAGTTTAAGCTCTTCAATTCGTTTCGTTCATGGGAAATAAGAGACAACTATTTGTAATCCAATAACATTGGCCACAAAACCCACAAACGATGTTGTAACAGTAACAAAACATAATTCTATTGTTGAAACGAAAATAACTAAATTTAGCCAAAAATGCCCGTCAAAAAACCCGTTGCCATGGCAACACCAAAAATCATTATTCTACCGATACAATATTGCAATATTTTAGGAACTATGTTTGGCGGTTCTAGCGCTTGCCGTTCGGACGCTATCCGACATCAAAGTTGGCGCGGGCACTTTTACCCCCCCCCCCTGCCTAGATAGGGTTAAGCTCTCCGATTCGTTACGTTCATGGGACATAAGAGACAACTATTTGTAATGCAATAACATTGACCACAAAACCGCAAACGATGTTGTAACAGTAATGCGGTTACAGGACACGGGCGCCATACTTAAGCATTTTTATCTTTCTTTAACGGAATCAATTATCAAGCGGAAATAGCTTTCAAAGTAGACGCAGGTTGTCGTAAAATGAATGTCAAGATTATTTTCTTGTCCGGTAGACCTTTTGATGCGGCCTAATGACCACAGAGCTTCTTTTAATCATACTTTGATTCAAAGTTTTCTGTTACAGGGTGATCCTCTAATTCTTTGTACTTGTAGCCATGCTTCTGGTTTCATTGTTTCCAAGCAAGTCGCATAGTATTCTTATGTTGTAGCTCGCTATAGCTTGATACCAAAACTTAAAAAGCCATTCTCAAGCATAACACGATACAATGCAAATTTTATAAGAAAACTATTCGCAGTCACCTGTAGCACGAATATGGAGTTATCTCTGGTTTCCACGTTGCTGTCTTCTTTCTGCACGTCTCACTTCTTTTGCATCGTCACGGTTTGGATACACAAGAGAAGTTCCCAACATAGTTTTCAAAATGAAACTTTGACGAATGTACGAAATGACGCGTAAAGAAATCGGAAACAAAGTATAAACGTCACGGTGAATTTTCGACGGTTACTTGTAACGCCATTCCGGATGTATGCGCTTGTGTGTGTCAGAACATCTTTGTTATTGCGCTTCTCAATATTCTGTAATTAGAGTATTAAGCTGCTTAAATCACCGTTTGCATTTGAGCGTACACAAAAATACAGAGTAATAACTAAAGGTGACAAGGTAGTCCCTTTTACTTCGGGTGTTTAAACGCACTAGATGCAAATTGTGTCAATGTTGTTGATACACCTATTTGTACCAACGTCGAGCCATATATATTGTACCAGAGCTTTCCGCTAACTGTGAAGTGATTTCGAATATTCAGTCTCTGTAATCCATCAATCACAAAGAAAAAGTCCTTTTCTTCCTAACGGAATGTCATCTTCAACTTCTGACAACTTGCACGTCCGTGGGTGTAGCTTGTTTTATCAAGTTTCACACGAACTCCTGTCAGTTTGCCACACCTGTGCAAGCTGCACTCCCGCCGCAGTCCCGCGTATTGATGAGGCCACTGCAAGTGATTTTTATGGATGACATGAGCGCGCGCATTAATTTTCGCCTGATTCTAGAAAAAAATAAACAAGATATTTTCATGCCTTCTGACCGAAAATGGGTAAAGATGTCTGTTGCCATGCCGGTAGGTGGATGGCAGATAAATATAAAGAGAGGAGACAAGAACAGGCTCTGATTTAATATTTTCTTATTTACTTTCTTATTTTGATGCAGATATATGTGATGCTGGTTGTGTATATGTGATGTTCTCACTGAATCAAAACCATTTGTACAATGATTGAGTCAAAATTTTAAAAGTTTTTTCGGCCCGCCTTGTTTTTTTTTTCCCCGCTCGCATTAGATTTGGAGTCTACAGAGGATGTCATCCATAAAATTTACTTGCTGTGGCGTTGCCTGTGCGGAAGGCAGCGCCGTGTATCTAACGCGATTTGCCGTGTCAGCATTATCTTCCCCACCAGATGTGAGCTCATTAGTCGCCGCGCCGTCACAGCGGGTTCACCTGTACCTGGCAGGCGGGGCTTTTGATCTTGGCAGGTTTTTACTGTTCTCACCTGGTGTTTATCTATTCAGTACCGTAGTTTGCCAGACATTTTCCTACGGCAAGTGTTATCTGTGAATAAAAGTGGAAAGGAAAGGAAAGGTTAGGACAAGTTTTGACTGATAGGCAACAAAGTCTAAATTGAGGACTATGAAGGGCAAGGAATCGGAGAATACTATTTTTGTCTCAACACACAATCGTTGTATTTGTTGTTGCTTTATTTTTGTTTTCATCTGGGCAGAAGCTTTCCTTGTTTGAAACAATAACAAAATTCAACCAAAAATTCTTTGTAGCAGGATTTCCAAATAGTACCAACCATTTACAATGTACTACAGTATATTACACATTATTCCATCTAGTGTTGTTATCTGAAAGATCTTCTGTTTACGGTTGTGTTTTTCCTGCTTTAACAACTGACACGGAACAGCTCACACGATGATCATCCTGAACATATGGCGCGCCATCAAAGCGCGATTAGTAAGTAATGTAAGTCAGAACTCCCTCGTGGCAAACGAAGCGTCTGCTGTTATCTGTACATTTCACGGTGCTCTGTAGACGCTAAACGGTTCCGACAGGGATTTCTCGCTGCGCTGCTTGCGGGGCTCAGAAGCAAGCTACGAAGATATCCTCCGAGGCACATAAATCAAAATGGAAGCATAGCAACATTGGTCGAGAAGTTTCACCATCCTAACTATCAATACCTGACATTAATCATAAAGAGAAACTCGGAGTCAAATATCTTTCTTACAAACAATAACAATGAAAAGCTTTATTGACAATAACTGTATGTATTATGGATGTCAACTTAATTAAGCCATAGCTTTATAATTATTCTAATTACATGTTAAGGCACGAATCTAATTGCTGGGGTGTCTTATATTTCCTGTACAACTTTAGTATGTTGATCCACGTAACATGAGCTACTTTGGCTCAAGTTAACATGCAGGTACAACTTGAAATTTATTAATTAACAACATCTTTTCTAAATTGATATAATTCTTCTCTCAAACGCTATAGTCTTGGAACTCGTCTTTGATGTGGAAGTGCAAGATATGATTTATTATCAAATAAAACAAACAGTCTTCACTGCATGCCAGTATTGAGAGGAGGCGGTGGGGAGTTTTGCTGCAGGCTGAGGTTGGCGATGAGCTGCTCGAGGTTTGCCACCAGGTGGTCGTCTTCGGTTGGCTCGGAAAACTTTAGGGAGAGAGACGTCTTGTCCTTGTTCTGTCTCACCGTCTCAAGATGCTCGGCCGCCGTCTTCTGGTAAACCGTCACGGAGACAAGGTTCTTCTCGAAGGGTTCTTCGAGATTCCAGGACTGCCCGATGCAGAACTTGAAGTAGGGCAGAGGCTTCTTCTTGCTGCCGGTAGTGTCAGTGGCGTAGCCTTGCAGGATCTCTAGGAACTGCAGAATGTCGAAGACTTTGGTGGGGGTTTCTCGCTCCAGCTTGATAGGGGCCTGCGAAGATTTTTTTTTGCATCATTCACACATTAAAGAAGATAGTACAACAAAAAGTGGTAGCGCACTCAAGTAGCTAAGACTTATTTTAACGCTAACACACATAATGAAAGGATGAATTCACAAAAACTAATCCACTATAAAGGAAATACAGATGATAATACATATGTAACAAAACGTAGTCAAGAACAAAGATGTTGGAAGCACATGGCCAATTTCCCACCCAATGACAAACGTACTGAAATTTTAGAACACTGCAAAATGCAAGGAAAATTGGGTTTTAGAAGCATTTTGTTGCGGTGATGACTTGTTGAGTAAACGAGAAAATATTTGAATTGGCAACGGACAAATATAAGGGACAGCCAAGGAGCAAAAGGGAAATAGACCTGGGATGAGTTAGGATCGAGCCAGTAGACGGCAGTCTCGCAGAGTCTGTAGGCCCAGATGTTTCCACAGCCGTCAAACTGGAAGAGTATTCCGCGTTTGGCACCGTTGAGCAGCTTCAGGGTGGAGTCGCGCTGTTTCGGGGTCAGCGTGTGAGGTGTACAGTCGGGCAGAGGGACTGGCACCACGTTCTCTGGTCCGAACAACTTCTCGCCATCTTTGCTGAAGATCTATAAAGTGAAAAAATAGTTAATTTCAGCGTAGCTTGTCGTAAAAATATTAAAGATTTGACCGTTACATCTCCCACTAATTGATGCCAGGATGACAAAAGATGACGGGAGACATTAGAAGGCTTCTGTCAAAGACAAACTTTTAGTCGTACTTTTCAGGTCTTTTTTTTAGCTTCCCAATCCCCATGTGATGTTGACGCTAAATGCATTTCTGTTACAGCCTACACAACCCACCTGGCATGCATGTCTGCTGGCCATCTGTTCCACATGGGAGCCGTGGAAGACCCTGAAGCCTGTCGGGACGGTGTAGGGCTGGTCCATCACCTGAACACCACGGTACAGTACACACACCTGCACCTCACAATCTGCAGGGGCAATCATATAATGTAATGTCAACATAGAAGTAAAATGGAAACAACAATTTATTTATCCGCAAGGAGGGGGGGGAGGACAGATGATCCACACAAGTCTCGACCTAGTCTCGTGTTCTCGCGAGACAAGGTCACTCCGTGATCAAGATGTACAGTCGACATCTACAATTCACTGATTGATGAATATTCTACTAACTGTTAACCTTACGTGACTGATGAACCTCTTCAGCGGGAAACGGCAACGAACGTAGTGGGTTTAATGCAAGAAGAAAGATACATTGTACTAGTCAATAAAGTAGAGTAAATTGTAACCTGATATGATTTCAAAGCAATCTATACGGTCTTAATGTTTTTTCAGTGTCATCGTAGAACTAACGTAGATATAATTTGATTATGGGAGTTCCACAAGAATTCATTATGATTTTTGGATCGATGGCACACAGTCTCCGAAATGCACCAGGAATCGACGGATTTAGAGTTTCTGGCTTTTAATAGTAGTGAAATGTTCTTAACTATTCTTTGAAACATCATAAGATTTGGATTACTTGCCTTGGAAATTCGAAAACGGCCCAAAAAGTTCCCTTTGTAAGGACGCCGTTGATTGGTCCACAGGCTGGGCACAGGACTCCGGTGGTACGTTCGCTATGAGTGGCTGAGGCATCGCGCATGCGCCCTGGCTGGGCTCGGGGATAGCTGTCTGTATCGGTGTGATGATTCCAAAGTCTGAAATATGGAAAAAGGTGATGTAAAAAAATCAAGGTAAGTTCTTTTATTGTGAACGATTTGGTTTTGTTTATCTTCCCATTATGGTTTATTCTAACGTATCTATAACTAACCACTGTGGGGTCGTGTGGCGTAGCGACAGAGTGCTCGACTCAGAACCAAGAGGTCCCGGGTTCGAGTCCTGACATGCCACCGATCTTGTGTCCTTGGGAAATGCACTTTACACGACTTTCCTCACTTAACTCAAGTGAAAATGAGTATTGTCCTGTCATGTATTTGTCCTCCGTGTTGGCGGTGGCATAAAATAAGATATAATTTGAGTGGGCCGTCGACATGTTTGGTTATGGAATGTTGGAATAAAAAAAACTAACCACTGTTATTGTTCATTTACTTTGTACGATATGTTTGTTGAATTAAATTGTGTTCCACTTGTATATTTGTACCCTCCTAGGTTTGCATTCTGTTTAAGTACCATGTTTTTTTAAAATTAGTCCTATTCGGCTAGAGGGACTACCTGCAAGTATCCAACATGTATATACAAATGACTTTACGATTTGCGGCTAATGTCCAATTACGAATTACATTGATTTTTGCGGAGGCTGCCTACGAATTACGAAGTCTAAAACGGCCTGATTACGCCTTACGAAAAAGGGCTTACAGGCCCTCATGCATGACCTGCCAAGGTAGTTTTATAACGTCATCGCTTGTTAACTTTCAAACTACACGATCAAAAGGAGGTCAGGGTTTTAACTACCTTCTAAGGACGGCATGGACTGATCGTTGGTCTGAGCACCGTCATTCCCAACGGGTATGTTTAACATCATTGGCTGTGTCGGTGCGCATGCGCCCTCATTAGATCCGGGTGTATCAGGTTTTGTCGACAGAAGGGCGTCAAGATCTTTAACAGTGAAAAAAGCAGAAAGTGAAAAGACGTTATCTATTCATAAATATTTATATTTCTTATAACGAAGATTATTATACTACTACTTCATATCTAAGCGAACGTTTGACCCCAAAAATCGACGTTAGAATTGATTTAGTTAATATACACAGTAGTAATATTCGTACTAAAGATTGTCATTGTTGTCTGACGTGTGAATTTAATTTGAGCTCACCGTTGAAATACTCCAATGTTTCCTCGCTGGACAGACCTATGTCGTCTGCTTGTTCTTGTGACACTGAAAAACAAATTAGGAAAGGATGATAATATGGAAAAAGTATAAAAGTGTAAATATGGACAAAAATATGTCTTAGGGCACTTTTTTTTTACCATTTTAGAGTCTATCAAAGCGTAGCAAAGTTACTTGCTATTTCTTTCGTGGCGTTACGAAGTTGAAGGCCCGAAAAGGGTTCTGATATGTAGTACATGTCTTTATGTAGAAAAGTTCCTTACCGTTCTTAGGCTGTTGCACGAGTTTATACACCTGAAAGGGTTTCTTTGGGTCCTTCGCTTTCCTGAGTGCTTTCCTGTTGTTTTTTTTACGCAAAGTCTTCAAATCTGGTAGTTACTGTACGATAAGTGTACAAAGGTCTTTACCATTCTTACGAGTCATTCAAAGAGTTTGTATAGTTTCATGTGGGTCGTCTTGTGTATCTAGTCCACGAGGCAGGTTTAAATTCTGACACTGTACTGCATTCAGTATGTAGAAAAGGTCCTTACCATTCTTGGGTAGCGTTATGAGTTTTTTGGTGGGTCGTTTCGTGAGTGCTTTTTTGTTCTTCAAATATGGTAGATACTATAAGATAAGTGTGGAAAAGTTCCTTACCACTCTTGGGTGGCGTTAGGAGTTTATACACCCGGAAGGGCTCCCGCGGGTCGTTCGGGTTTCCAAGTGCTTCTTGTTCCTGGAAGTCCTTCAGCTTGAAGAGGGCGTTGCGCACGCGCGTCTTCCACTCGCTCCACATGGTGGGGTTTTCCTCTTCTCCCGGTTTCCATTTGCCTGTCTTCTGGGCCCAGAGCTAGGGGGAGAGGGGTGTTGAAGATGGCCATTACTGGTACACATGAAATGACTGAATGTACAATATGTACAGTTTGTATACAATACAGCCATACCTAGTGCATTCACTTGATCATGGTTGTACACTCTAAGAACTTACTACAGTATTGAAGGTGTCAATGCTACAGAACTAACTTGGCTTCAAATATGCCCCCCCTCGTTTCATAACAACTATTACTAACGCCATTCTCCACCTTGAGTGTTGTTGAAGCTTCATGCATGCACCGTTTGTACAGTGCAGCCACAACTATTACAGCACGTGTTGGTTTAGAAAAAGAATACTGAGGGTTCAAAGTTTCAGAACTAACTTGACTTGAAGTATGTACGCCCTCCCCGACCCTCACAACAACTAGCTACTACGCCATTCTCCACCTTGAGTACCAGTTCGCCCTTCCAAGTCAGTGTAAGTTAATATCGATCATCTATTCAGAATATTGTTTATAAACATTATAAATCGATTACAGCTAGCTACCCAATGTGCTTCAGTTGTAAACCTCCCCCAAACATATTGAGCAATTGTAACGTAGTAACTGTTACATGTAGGTGAATCTTTTCTCACCTTGAATATGAGTCCGTCCCGTTCGGAGTTGAACCCGCTCCTTCCCCCGTGAGGCCAGTCTATCCTGAACAGTCCCTCACTTCGGTCCAGCCAGCTCACACCTGTTTTGTATGTTGTATTTATTAATACATACACTGTAGTATACACATAACATAATAAAGACAGTGTGCAGGAGGGGGTGGGAAGCCTAGTTGGCGTATACTGAACCCACCCCCTTAATAAACAATACACGTGGGGTCGTGCGGCGTAACGGCAGAGTGCTCGTCTCGGAACCAAGAGGTCCCGGGTTCAAGTCCTGACATGTCACCTTGTGCCCTTGGGAAAGGCACTTAACACGACTTTCACCTCACTTCACTCATGTGAAAATGAGTACTGTATTGAATGTCCCCTGTGTTGGTGGCGGCATTAATGTATTTTGAAAAAAGACTTGAGTGTGCCGTCACCACGTCTTATTATTACATGTTGGAATAAAAAAATTAAACAATGCATGGTACTGTAATGATTAAACTTATAAAATTAACGAAACTCGTACACACCTGCCACGTCATTTGCGTCCAGGTGAGACACGAAGAACCTTCGCAGTCGCTTCCTGTCGTCAGAACCGTTCGCCATACCTGTGCTGGTTACACCTGGTACCTGTGTGTGTTGGGGGTGGGGGGTGAACTTTAGACTTGGATTGTACCATTCATGTCAAAGGGAAAATAAAAAAATCAACCATACACAAGCTTAGTCCACAACGACTGCAACGGATATAGTGCATTAATTAATCTCTATATTTGCACCTGCAATGGTTACACCTGTGTGTGTGTGTGTGGGTCGAGGAAGTGGGGAGGTGACTTGGACTTTACCATTTATTCCAAGAGGAAAATAAACACAAGTAATTACTTCTGTCAATACAAACGGTCAGCAAGCCGATTTGTGTCTTTTATGAATAGACTAAAAACACTTTATTTTACAACAATTTTAACAGCCGCTCAAAATGCATGGCAGACATCTCTACTATAGTATAAAACAGGAACTACTTGGAAAAGTAGAAACTTGGATACATTGTGTACAGAGATCGCCCCTAAAGTTCCGGTTTTCGTTTCAACCACAAGTCTTTTATTACCACGATAATGTTTCGTGTGTCATGCGAGTTTGGGGCACACTACAAATGTATGTGGTCGTTTTAGTGTTGTCAAAATGATCGATACACACTTGCGTAACCTCTTAAATAATTCAGGCCAACTTGGTACGTTTGTTTAAGGTGTACCTATGTAGGTTTAAATATAGACGTTTAAAATAGATTCCTATGCATGACATGGTATTCATAGGGCATCACAATCAGATGAAACATTTTAGGCTTCAGAGGACCTACGAAGTTTCCGTCTAAATCCTCCCTCTTCTCCCTTTGTTTTCATCCCCGTGCGCGAAAAACCCCCGCTGCCAATAATGGTTTGTCCTGGATGACGTCATATGAGGAAGTGACTGCAAGGTGTTTTCCGCACAGCGGTCTGGCGAAAAGAACGTGCTTCGAGCAAGTTTGCTCGAATGAGGAACTAAGAAAAGGGTAAATTCACCTAAGGTTTGCATAGGGATTGGTCGGTCTTGTGTAGGGACCAAAAAGAATTGCATACTCCCGATTTAAAGAAGTTTGGACGTAACGACATGCGATCGTAGAACGGTAGAAAGAATATCGGACGATATGTTCCCTAGCTCGCGCCAAAGAAGGTGCTCGCCAGCATTTCTAGGCACCACTATGACCGTATTTGGTCCGTCAGTAAAATCAAGGACATTCTACGTCCTTGGTAAAATCTATACCCTTCACTGCCTTGTACTGAATTGTTAAGTAAGGTGCTAGATAGATTTTAAAAAAGTCACATTATATATTACGTATACCTCTCCCCCTCCATATACACAACAAACAACACAAACAATTCCCTTTCCCTTTCAAAACTACCCTCTCCGTAATCAAACAAAAGACTTCTCAAATCTTCGTCTGAATTCTCTCTGATTCTCACTCACTCAGTGATGTCCAACTATTTCTCTCTCGTTCTACCCCTCTTTTACTCTTTCTCCCCACGTTCTCTGAAACTCGCCTCCACCAGGCCTTTCTACGGGACAACGGATCGTAGAATTCGGCAAAAAAGAGAGTAAAATTGACCAGGGGAGTCAGTCCGTGGGGATATAGTTTCTTTCCCTCCTACCTGCGCGGCCAGTCAAACCTACAAGGCGGCCCCTGGCAAATATTCTCCTATATATAGCCAGCGTAGTTAGTGTGGACATAATGAATACCTGGCCTACTCACCTGAGCCAAACCTTTAAGAAACTGGAGCAACAGACCGTCTGCACGGCTCGCTTTAAGAAGGCTGTTGGGTCAGAAATAGCTCGGGGATTCCCCCATGACGTAAGGGGGATTTCTGATGACGCCATAAAATTCAGGGCTGCAACGTAGTTTCTAGTGCAGTGCAACATCTATTCGCGAGAGGGCGCATCTTGCATATTTGGTTTATTTATGACGATCTATTATGCATGGAGTGGAGCAAGGGGCCAGTTCTGGCCTAGGCATTTAGGCAGGCAGGTAGGTATGTATGTATGTCACTTTGATACCATTACAGTCATACAAAACACAAAAAAGCAGCACTGATGGTGTATGCTGACGCTGCATGGTGATGTTTATTGAGAAAATACACGGACACAAACACACGTATAGACAAGACACTTCCTCAGTTCCTAGTTGTAGGAAATTGGGAAAATACGAAACACAGTGCGGTTTCGCAAGGCCCATTTGATAATACCCACCGATCCCAAGACTTTCACACCAGGCTATCTAACAAAATGGAATGGAACAGGTATGGTGATTTCCAGACAATGACGAGACCGGCTATTTTAAACATCATGAAAAGCATGACAGTGGATACTACGTATGCAGAAATCCCCGTCTATGCATGGTCTAGCATCTAGCATTTCGTAACTATAACAATTGTATTTCTCGCTCTTCATATAAAGTACTTCAAGTTATCAAGGACTCGGTGAAATGTCGTGTTTCTGATATCAATCCTGTACACTCTCGGTATTCTCCAGTATGGACACATAAGTTCCCCGTTCCTTTTGTAGACAAAGCCAAAAGTTCTGGCGTGATAATAAAGTTTTCACATAGCCGGAGAACAAGTGTAAACCAGTCTGAAGTTTAGCGGCATTGCCAGGTTACCGCACTAATAGAATTGTTTTTGTTATGTCTCCGTGGGCATTTTTGTCATTGAGAACATGTTAAGTTACTTATAGGACCTTTATTGAGACCATGTATTCTCCTGTCCCACGGTCATGCGTTGCATTTTGAAAACCAGCAGTGTTTGAGCTGACGCCGCGTCTGGGCACTACTACAGCGGTGAGTGGAAACCTTTACTTGTTTTTCTTTCTTCTTGTCATTACCTATACTGTACTAAGTGTACTTTATACATGCAGATTTATTTTAGCTGTTTATGATGGTTGTAAGATGAGAGAAGTGCACTTATAACGAGTTGTTCTTTCTTGAACCAGCCTGTTTCAATTGTAGTACATACATCAGCTTTTCGTAACTATAATCATTTCTCTCTCTTCGTATAAAGTACCTTAAGTTGGCAAGGTTTCGGTAAAATGTAGTGTTTCTGATATTAATTCTGTGCACTCTCGGTATTTTCCACTATGGACATATGAGTTCTTCGTTCCTTCTTTAGACAAAGCCAACAGTTTTAGCGGGATAATAAAGTTTCCACACAGCTGGAGAACAAGTGTAAACTAGCCTGAAGTTTAGCGTCATTGCCAGGTAACCGCACTAATGGGATTTTCAGCAACATGCATTTCAATAGAGTCCATCAGTCCTCATTTACTTGTTATGGTAACTGAAAAAGTGACGGTATATCGACATTTATTCGACTCCTGTAGTTTGTAGACATCGCCAGGTTACCGCACTAATGGGATTCTCAGCAACATGCATTTCAATAGAGTCCATCAGTCCTCATTTACTTGTTATGGTAGCTGACAAAAGTGACGCTATAGGAACATTTATTTGCCTGCTCTTGCCGCTAAGAGGGTCCAAATCTGTCGATTGGTGACTGAAGAACAGTTGCCTTGGAAAAATATAGGATAAACGTAGTACTTTTTATGTAGACACGCTTAAGTGCAGCTTGTTTGTAAAACAATTTAAACGTTTCTTTCAACGAAGGATTGTTTTATTTACTGGCTGACTGACCAGATTGATTGTGTTATAGAATTGTTTTTGTTGTGTTTCCTCTGGGATTTTTTTGTCATTGACAACATGTTAAGTTACTTATAGGACCTTGATTGAGATGTAAACCATATATTCTCCTGTCCCACGGTCATGCATGACATTTTGAAAACCAGCAGTGTTTGAGCTGATGCCACGTCTGGGCACTACTACAACGGTGAGTGGAAACCTTTACTTGTTTTTCCTTCTTCTTGCCGCTACCTTTACTGTACTAAGTGTACTTGATACATGCAGATTTATTTTAGCTGTTTATGATTGAAGTGCACTTATGATGGCTGTAAGATGAGAGAAGTGCACTTATAACGAGTTGTTCTTTCTTGAACCAGGCTGTTTCTATTGTAGTACACACCTAGCATTTCGTAACTATAATTATTTCTCGGTCTTCATATAAAGTACCTCAAGTTGGAGACGTCTCGGTAAAATGTACTTAGTCTAGTGTTTCTGATATTAATTCTGTGCACCCTCGGTATTCTCCACTATGGACATATGAGTTCTTCGTTCCTTTATAGACAAAGCCCGCAGTTTTAGCGGGATAATAAAGTTTCCACACAGCCGGAGAACAAGTGTAAACTAGCCTGAAGTTTAGCGTCATTGCCAGGTAACCGCACTAATGGGATTCTCAGCAACATGCATTTCAATAGAGTCCATCAGTGCTCATTTATTTGTTATGGTAGCTGACAAAAGTGTACTCTCCAAGCAGAGGTTGGTGGGGGAAGATCGTCACCGTTTCATATATGCATATATAAAACGGCGACGATCTTCCCCCACCAACCTCTGCTTGGAGAGTAACAAAAGTGACGCTATAGGAACATTTATTTGCCTCCTGTTGCCGCTAAGAGGGTCCAAATCTGTCGATTGGTGACTGAGGAAGAGTTGCCATGGAAAAATATAGGATAATCGTAGTACGTTTTATGTAGACACGCTGAAGTGCAGCTGTTTTGCTAAACAATTTAGAAGTTTCTTTCAACGAAGGGTTTTCTGAAAGAAACAGTGTTTCCTGTGATCCCTGACGGTCTGTGGGGAAAAAGGGATTATCGCTAGCAGTCTTTGTGGAATGGTACCGGTAGAACCTTGTAGGAATTTGGGTTGGAGCGTCGAGATTCGTGATGCAGGCATTGGGACTCAGGGTTCCCATGGCAAGAACGTCCAGACTGCAGAAGTCATTCCTACATCACACTATCAGACTTTATAACAGTCAAATGCAGAATTAGTTTTTTATGTGTTGTACATATAGTCATTGTCGTGAATCTGTATGTTTTATTTATACCTACGTTGTATTTTCATGTACTACTATGTAATGGCCAGCACAATTCAGCGGTCCATAATTTGTTATGTACTGCTGCTATGCTGACCACTGTCTTGAATAAAGAATTGGATGAGACAAAATATGTTACTATTTGCTCCACAAGGTTTCTCGCTCGAAGATGTCGTCCAAGAAGCTGTTCCAAAACGGCGAGGCAGCTCCGGAAGGTTCTGTAGGTCGCCATGGAAACCCGTTGACCAATAGAATCGTCCTGGCGCTGTCAGGACTCGCGGCTGTGGTGAGTTTCGTCACCCTGCTGTTCATGCTTCGGGAAATTGCCTTCATCCAGGAACAGCAGACTACGTTCATGAGAGAGATACAGGATCAGCAAACGGCGTTCCAGACAGATCTACGGGAAGAACTACAAGCCTACCTGAAGGATCAGGTGCTCCAGATGCAGTTGAAGCAAAAGAACGAGGCTAAGGACAAGGTAAGGATGGTTTTGTCACTTTTTTCTGACCATAACCAGAGGCGGCATTATTGGCAGATGTCTGTTATTGTCGTCAACAGCTTTTCAAAGTCATGCTCAAGTTCATAAATGAATGAATGAGACTTTATTTTCGTGTCGTGCGCTTTCCCGCGCCCAGCCCGTGTGGGCTTATACGACACCGATTCAATAAATCATACATAAACAAAAGATAATCAAAGGTACAGATAACAGAATCCAAACAAAATATGAACACAAATAAAGGTAGACTATATACAATAATGGTGAACAAAGTGAACTCATAACAGATCGTAAATGCAAATAAACAAATCTGTACATAATGCAGCTTGTAATAGGCAGCATTTTTGTGCTCTGAATCGGATTTAGGAAAATATCCATCATGAGGAAAGTAGCTTTGTGTGATTGTGTTTCATCATATTACAATACTAGTATATGCTCAATGGTCTTCACTTTATTTGCATATCAATCAATAGTTTGTGCTTATAAACCTGCTTTCTCCTCTGGTCTCTCAGTCACTGACGAAAGCTAGTGGATACTAGCTGAAACGTCTGACCGTTTCCAAAATCATATCCTGTTGCTTGAATAACTGCTTTTTGGCGTATCGTATTACCTAAATGTCTAACCTTCATCGATATACTACAATATAGCCTAAGGCGAACCATGCGACTGTACTTGTTTACTATAACGAGAACACAATTGTCTTATAGGGCCCAGCTAGCACAACTAAAGGCTGGCGAGGTGATGACAGCGCCACCTTTTGGAAAAGTCCGGAAGTGCACCACAGATCCAAGAGGAACTCAGAGTCAAAGACTGTACTCATCCTTGGAAGACGTTCAGGTAAATAAAGTTTGCATGCCGGTCTGTCAGGTGTTAACTGGAAATACTCTTCTAAATCAGGTGTTTTGTTGGAAATATTTTTTTTCAACCTTTATTTAACTTTGAAAAATGTACAGTACAATTGTGTAGCAGTACAACTCTTCGGCCTGAGCCGTCTTTCAAGAGGTCAAGGGGAGGTAGAGGTAGGTCAGGGGTCTTTGCAAATTCTTCAGTTCAGTTACAATCAGTCGTAGGAATACAAGATGAATATATACAAAGTATACACAAACCAAACACTATCTCGGTTCGTATGACTCATAACTCATCAGTATCAAGCATCCAAATTTCAGTTCACATATTTAGTCATTCTAACTTGTGACTTGAAGCAGCCGGTTTTTAAAAGCTGCACTTTTTATTTCTAGATAAAAGTTTCAAAATACACGTGAAGAATACATGAATAAATGTTTATCAAACCAACAGATTTGGGATGTCTGTCAGGACCGCCGCAGGTCACAACCCTAGCAGCCCCGACTGCTCCTCCGCAGGTCACAACCCTAGCAGCCCCGACTGCTCCTCCGCAGGTCACAACCCCAGCAGCCCCGACTGCTCCTACGCAGGTCACAACCCTAGCAGCCCCGACTGCTCCTCCGCAGGTCACAACCCCAGCAGCCCCGACTGATTTGTAGATAAAATTTGGCCTTGAAGAATAAATGAATGTTCATTAAACCAACAGACTTAGGATGTCTGTCAGGACCCCCCGCGAGTGATGGTCCTCCGCAGGTCACAACCCCAGCAGCCCCGACTGCTCCGCCGCAGGTCACAACCCCAGCAGCCCCGACTGCTCCTCCGCAGGTCACAACCCCAGCAGCCCCGACTGCTCCTCCTGCAGGTGAGTTTTGGGGTCCGAGTTTCTCACGGTTCTGGTGTTACACGTGCGGGTCTTACAGCGACACAGTCATACAGTTTCCACCATGGTGCATAAAAATATGACACATCCCAGCATTTCATAGACAGATGACTGTCATAGTGTTGTGTAAAAATGTTTAGGTTCAAGTCCAAAAAAACCTAAACGCCAAGAACCGATTCCGGACTCATTACAAAAAAAAAAAAAAAAAACATGTCACATACCCCTTCTCTGTCGAATTCCAAACCACCTAAAACCTTCCACAGCAAAATCCGTGCTGCAAAATGAAGAAAGCATTGCCATCGGGCATCGTCAAGTGTCAGCCTCCATGTTATATTGCCACAGTTTCGCCCATACAACATTGCAAGATTGCAAACATGCAATTTTGTATATGCCATGGGTTTAGGTCCAGACTTACGAGTCCGGAACTGAACCGAAACCTCCGGACCTGAACCTAAATGTGACTTAGGTAGCACTGGACTGTCATATACGAGCCTTACCAGTAAGATTACCTTACACCGTACAAACATTTTGATGCAGTACAATTCATTTT